CTGGAGGTTTAAATCTCCTTCGGCTCAGTGGGTTTTTTTTTTTGTTGCCGCTTTCGCCCTTTTTCGAATGTGGAATTTCGTCACCGAGGTTTGTCCCTTGCTCTCTGGGGTCCATTTCTTTTCTCTCTCTGCCTTTCTGCCGCTACAATTTTAAAGCTAAAAAAAGAAAGTGAATTGACGTGAGGGCGATCGCGGATGGTCCCATCGAGTCTTCAAAGACGTTCGCCGGTTGGTCTCTTTTGCGTTATTAGCTCCTCGAGCCATTTTTCTGCGAGTAACCCGCCCCTACGGCGGTAGTTTTTTTTTTTTCTTCTGAGAAAAATTATAACTGTGCGCCGCATGCTCAAAGGATTCCGTATTTAATTAATTCCAGATCATGTTTATCAGAAATTTCGAACAACGAAAAAAATCACGTTACCTTAAATGTGACATTTCTCGCAATATTTTTTTTTTACCCGGGCTAGAAAGGTGAACCTCGTTTCCTCTTTCAATTTCCAGCCAGAGCCAACAGGGAATCCACCCGCAGAGTGGTCTTGCCAATTTACTGGAAGGAGGCTAATCTCGAGCGTTTTCCTCTTTCCACTTTTCGATCGTTCGCAGGGCAATAAAACACTGGTGCAGATAAAGCGATCTAAAAATGAGGATTTCGTGAAGAATGGGTCTTTCGCGACGATCAATGGGGATTATTTGGGGGTTTATCTCATCCCTTACGTTTGAGACAGCTTCGTTCGGTCCCGTTTTATTTCCTGTAATCCTTAAAAAAAAAAAAGGATGGATTTCCTCCTTCGCTCGAATTCCCTTTTCGCATTTTTCTGCATTTTTTCTGATTTCATCGTCTTCGTGCCCCGGTCTCGCCGCAATCTTTTTTCCCCTTCGGTCCTTGTTCGTTTCTGTCGCGAAAGTGTTTCTCCGAAGTTCTTCTTCGGTCTGTTTCTCACGAACGAGCAGGAGTCTTCGCTTGGAGAGTCTTGGGCTTTCATGCAAGGGGAAATAAGCAAGCATTAATGGGCAAATACGTAAACAGAATTCCGAATTTGCGGCCATTTTTGCTTTGTAGATGATGCGAGAAGAAAGATTCCCTATAACGTTTCATTGCATTCTTTTTTTCTTTTGCAGGTAACATGAAACATAGTACTTCCATTCATAGAAGTACTGCTTATCATCTGGTCTTGCTCTGTCTTGCCAACAGCATTGTACTCCTTTGCTTATTTTCCAGCATATATAGTTACTATGACGGTAACGTTAGACAGACGGACAAGTCGAGGCGATCGGCCGAACTCGAGAACGAGGGGAGAAAGCCTTACGTCTGTGCGAGATTTCCGCTCTTCACCCGCCAGCAGTGGTCGCAGTTGATAGGCTGCCTACGGTAGTCCTCCGAGAGAGCAGAAGGTCCCACCTAGCAGAACCAGCACCGCCTGCTCTCTTGAGGGTCCCTAACCAAGTGGGACGATCCCGGCTTGGACGTCCTGCTCTTGAGCGTCGAGGAGCAGCTGTCCCTCGACTTCGAGTTGGTGGATGTCGTTCCGTTTCGCAACTACGCTCGGAAGAACATCGGGTATCTGTGCGCCATTCGATGCGGTGCCGAGGTCATCTACGAGACGGACGACGACAACTCGCTCGTCGATGAAAGTCGATTGGGCATCGTCGAGTTTGTCGGCTTGGAAGCCGTGCCGCCGGCGGCTGCAAGGAAGCCTTGGGTCAATCCGTATTCTTTATACGGCCGACCGGACATATGGCCTCGAGGATACCCACTTCGTGCGATCAACGAAACAGACACTTTCGAATTCTTCAACGTTCGCACGGCCTCGTCACGGATTCGTCCGTGGATCCAACAGTGTCTGGCCGATTTGGACCCCGACGTGGACGCCATATATCGATTGACGCGGCCGAGATCCATCGGAAATGTTAAGTTTCGAACTTACCCCGATGCGATCGCCCTTGGCGCCGGGGCGTACTCTCCATACAATACCCAAAACACTTTCTATCTAAAAGAGGCCTTCTGGGGCCTCTTGATTCCCTTTACAACCTCATTTCGTGTCTGTGATATCTGGCGTGGCTATTGGGTCCAACGACTTCTCCGAGACGTCGGCGGTTCCGTCGTGTTTCGTCCTCCTACCGTGAAGCAAGTGCGCAATCCCCACGACTACTTGAAGGACTTCGAAGACGAACTGGATCTGTACTTGAAGACTGAACGTTTGACGGAATTCCTGTCAGCGTGGCAGTCGAACGAAGACGGCCTCTTCGAGAGGATCAGAGAATTGGGAAGGCTGATGGCCAAATTCGGGTTTTGGGACGACGACGAAGTTCTGGCCGTGGATGCATGGATCCAGGACCTCCGACGGATCGGATACGAGCCGCCTCCTATCGTTACGGGAAAAACGAATTCTATTGTTACAAATCCAGCCTCGTCTTCAAGAGTCCGAACCGCCGTTTGCATCACTGGTCAATTGGATGGAATTTCAAGAGCATGGCCGAAGACCAAGGAGTCATTAGACATATTGTTCGAAGAGCACTCCGACTACGACATATTCTACCACCTTTCCACCTACAAGTCGAACGACGAGGCAGACGAACGTTACGCGAAAACAGAAATGAAACCTGCACTAGGCGTGATTTACGACGATCCTCCTCTTTCCCCGGAATTATCGATGAGTGATTTTGGACTGCGAGCGGGGTGGACACCGAATAATCTGTTCCAGCAATTACACGGCATGAAACGCTGCTTCGAATCGACCGAACGGCATGCAGCTTCGACTGGGATCGACTACGATTACTTGATGCGCCTTCGGAGCGATCACGTTCTCCGATTGGATCATGCAAACAGGACATCGGTCGAGATGGCTTGGAAAGGTCTCAACGATTCCTTTCTCATCATTCCCGAAGGTAACGATTTTTTCCAGGCAGACATCAGTGAGGTGGTCGCAAACTCGTTTCTCATCATTCCCGACGATGCTCCCTCACGGGACAGGGCATCGGGGGATTACTTCATTATTCCCGAAGGTGTCGACCTTCCCCCGCCGGGTTCGGTGAACGAAGGGAAAAAGGGCTGGAACGATCGCCTGGCGATCGGGCCCTACGAAAAGATGCGTCGCTATATGACGCGGTACGATGATATGAACTTGGAGGGAGTTCGTACTTTGCATGCTGAAGTCTTCCTCAGATTTATTTTGGAACATTATAATATTCAAATCCAGCGTGTCCCTTGGTCTTACACCGTTATTCCCAACGAATCATGAAATCGGGCTGCGGTTCTATATTTAAAATCCTTTCACTCGGTGACTTTCAAAGACATGTCTTCAACATGTTCACCCCAAGATTGAAAACAATGATATTTTTCTTTCGAGTCGAGGTTTTCTTTTCTGCAGATGCATATATTGTCGTAATTCGTGGTAGTCTGGTTCCAAGAGTGGGATACATTGGACCGAGGGGCAACCTAGGACAATCCTTATGTCACGCGAAACTGATATTGCCTGTTTTCTCAAGTCTCCGAGCCTCGGCGACCTTTTTGTGCATCCAAGCAAACATCGGGCACATTTCAAGCGTTTCATAGGCCTCAAGTTTTCCCATTAGCATTATGGTTTTCATTACATGGATGCATCGAGATTTTCCCAGGCATAGCAATACAGCATCGAGTAGGAAATCGGCAGAAATAAAGAGAACACAAGAAATCATATGGCGGTATCCCATCACGTCAGCCTACATTGTTTCTCATTAGCTACACCTCGATGCGCATAATTTAAAATGCGAATGTGATAGACGTAATCAGAGCAAAAGGTCAATAGTTATGAGTCACACTAATTACGGATCATTGCAGAATTTCTGTATCAATTGGAATTATCTCGGAATTTCGCCACGTGAAAGTGGACTTTTTCTCTTCTGAAGCAGATTCTTAGTTAAGTTCTAGCACCCATCAGGTTTTATGGACTATGGGTGACATGGAACAGATCGGTTTCATTTATACTAACCTGGTCTCACAAGGGTCCAAAATGGGAATTGGTTTGACGGAGATTACCTTATTCCAACAGGGGCCCATTAAGATTTTTTCGGAACCCAACCAGGAACTGGCACACCTACAGAGTTTTGAGGGCCTGACACACAGTTCAGGCCATAGCTGGCTGACTCGAGCTTTCACCTTCGCCAGATCAAGACCTTGAGCCACGCAACAAACCCACAAACTAGGCTGGTCCAATCCACACACCGTGAGGAGGTCAAAATCATTTCCTATTCTTCACCCAATAGCAGGGCACTCAAAATTCGAAGATCATGTCTCCCTTGAAGGTAATGGGGCAGAGCTCACTAAATACTGACTAACAGACCAATGGGGGTTTCCTCAATGACTGAACACACCCCAACTATTGATCTAGATCAGGGGTGTCAAACTCAAATCGGTCAGTGGGCCACATTCCTCAACCTGCAAATGCCTGCATGCAACACTCAATTTTTCACCAAAATTTGCGCTGTCAATGCAAGCAGAAATTTCAAAAACAGATGGTGGGCCGTATAATTTGACACCCACGATCTAGATCATGGTTGTTTGAAGTTTGAATGTTCTCTCTTTGTAATCATGTGCGGACAAACTCAAGATAAAGACAAATGGATATTTGAGTTCTGAATTGAAGCATCATCCTCTTCTTCTGCTATCTAGGAGTTCAAAATTCAAACAGTGTGGCTCAATTAATACTATGAATAGAACTCCCTAGAAAATAAGATAGGAAAATTTTTTGGGAGGGAGGGGGAAAGCAGAGAGACACACCCATTATTGACTTGAATGTGACAGTAGAAAACTGCAGTGGCATGTCCCTCTGGAATGTTATGAAACAAGAGTGGCTCTGCCTCAAAAGGAAGAGAAGTTCATGGGTATGAGCTAGTAGATACACATGGCACCAGCAAAAAAAAAGGAGTCTTACTCTTAAAAACTCCAGAGTGCAGACAAGAATTTAGGAAGAGACACAATCATAAACATAATGGAAATGTGATGACCAGGTGATTCATGATTACATAATGCCCAGTTTCTTGAGCTCTTCTTCCAGGCGCTTGGCATACTGTGCATGGTCGATCGGAGTGGCCGAGAAGACTCTTGTTCTCAGCCTCATCTCATCCTGTCCACAAACAAATCAAGAAATTAATAGAAGCAAACTCATACATTCTACAATGGAACTTTTAGCCATTTCTTCTCTATGAAGAATATTCAGCTCAAGTACAGGAATACTGAGTGCATGCACTGTAAGGGATTGTTATTAGTTGGGCTGTACTGATGTATTGGCAGTCACTAGTACCAGTTGCCAATATGGTACCAAATGGACCATGTTAGTAAACTGTTACGCGAAGAAGGCGCTGAATGAGAAAAACAAAAAAAAGAGAGAACCATGTCAATGTGCTAGTTTAAAAGTTAGCATTGGAGTTAGCATTGTATTACTCATCACAATGGTCACATCCTCCCCCTCAATATGATGCATCAATGCACCATTAATGATTTGGGTCAATAAATAGGTGCTTTTTAGAGCAGTCTAGCTGTCATCAAGACAGCTTCAAAAAACGTAAAGCCCAGCTTCATTATCAGACTATTTATATTTGATATGATTCACCAGTCTTTATTTACTTGTCCCATTTGGCATAGACAACAGCCAGTAGGGGTATGAGATTGTTATAACTAACAGGGCTGGAATAGTAATAAGTCACTTGAAGAACATACACAATTTAAAAAAAAATTAAATGGAGTACTGATATATGAGCTGGTAAATCAGATACCTCTTAATTCATTCATATCAGCAGTATATTTCTTCCAAATAAAGGTAAACTGAACATTACTTCAGGTGGCATGAATGCAGATTGTATCAGTATTAACAATTAGGTGTAGAGAATAATGAAGGTAACATATAGCAGGGATGGTCAAGTTGTGTCCTAGGCAGTTCCAAGTGTTGGCAAGTGGCAAAATGCTCTGGCCCCTAGAATCTAAAGCTATAGTCTAAAGAATGCATGTACAAAGTCATGGGAGAATTGTGGCTCTATCACACGAAGATTCTGTTCTGTGACTTGTATGGTCAGGAAGTTTGGCCATCTTAGAAAAAATATATTTAGGGCCACATAGAAAGGAGACTATGGAGTAGAGCCTATGACTTATAGCCATGGCAAAGACCTGAAGAATGACTTGACTGAATTTCAGGCATTGGACACAACATCATTGCAGAATACCTTCAATTAATCACAGATTGTTTAGAAACCAATTCTTTTGGGGCAAATTACTTTTCAGACAGTCTGTACTGATCCTCACCTGCAAGTTTGAATTACTCTCTTGGAAGTCTAAGAAAAAGCATGTGAAATAATTTTGAAGATTTTGAGGGAGAATGACTCAGATTTTGCTTAAACATTAGCATTTTCAATTGGTTCCTGAAGACAAACTCACATTGTAGTTCTCCAGCTTGACCTGAAGTCGAAAGATAAAGCTTTTGAAGTGCGCATCATCAAGAACCTGGTTGAACGCTGTGGGATCGCTGTCTCGAAGATGACCCAGGTCTCCTGCTGACACACCCAACACGGTCTCAGCCACATCATGAAAGCAAGTCACCCATGCACTGTCTGTGAAGTCTGCAATATTCATCTGCAAGAAAAATATCACCACATATGTCATGGATCGAAGGCTTCATTTGATCAAGTGAAACACATCTCCATAGAAAAAAAAGATAGTCAGTACTTAATGAAAGGGAAACATAAAAACAGAATCTTACTAGTAGATTCTCATGGCAATATTTTATTATAGCCAAGCACATATTAAGAAATCTGAAAGCCACATGGCTTACTATAAAAATAATTTGCTGCACCTCTTACAGAATGTGCAATTTCAACAATGAAATATCATGACAATGCCATACAAAGAAAAACAAATACTACTTTTTTGCAAAAGAAATCCAAACAGTACAGAGTGAATACTCAAAATCCTGTGGGGTTAAGAAGTTCTTGTACCTGAATACAATAAGAATAGGGTAAACTTAACAATCAGGAGCTGGCAAAGTAAAAGGTAAATATACTGCAAAGTCAATTCAATTTCAAAAAGTCACAATACAAAAGGGAGGGATTAGAAACTGACTTGGAGCATGAGCCTCCACTTGTAGTTGGCAAATTCCTTGTTGCACTTCTCACATCTGTAGAGGCCATTGTTTTGGTCAATGACCTTCTTGTTGCAGTCCCCATTGGGGCATGCCATGTACATGCAGTTCTCCTTCTTGATCATCACCACACTTGCCTTACAGTTGTAGTAGTCAGTCTGCTGGGAGCCCAGCTGGTCCACCTTTGCTTCACCCAGGGTCAACCAGTTTCCACCCATCCCTGATCATAAATCATCATCAAAACTGATTCTGAGTCAAAACGTTCAGCTTGAGTCGATCAACTACATGAGCCACTAGATAGGTTTTGACAATTTTCTTTAGTCGTCTTCTCCTTGCTCCCTGTATTGCTTATTACAGCTTGACAGGATCAAATTTTCCCAGCACTGGAAAACTGAAATGTCCTTCCTCAGTCCTGATTAATTGAAAACTGTTTTGTTCCAAGTGTTTACATTTATATTGGTACCTTATGCCTAAAAAATGCGCTACACCTCCTTTGCATCATTATGTGGACTCCTGAATCTCCTTGTCCTTTTTAATGAATGAACATCACATCAGTCTCACATTTGTGAAAAGTCAACTCCAGGAGGATCTTCTATGCTAAAATGTGATATTATACCCCCAAATTGTGTTGTTTGGATCTTTGAATTGGAGTGAAACTGAAATTGGAATAAAACTCAATAACATAGTAGGCCAAAACCATTGTCTAACCAGTACACTACCACAATTGCATTCCTACTAGTAGATGCTTATGAAGCACGTAAAGAGACTCTTGTGAGAAATACATGGGTGATTCACATTATACACTGCCACCCAATTCAATATATCAGTGCTCCATCAAACTGAAGATCACAACATAAGGTTCCATAAATCAAAAATAAAGTGAAGAATATATGTCCCATACCTCCAGCCCCACCTGCACCTCGCTGAGTGGAGATGCTCTGTGTTTCCATCTGACAGCCAACATTGTCATACCAACCTCTCAAGGTATGTGCCTCTGGGATGTCTGGATTGATCTAGAAGGCAATGCATTCTGCAAGTTCATAAATTGAATCCAATCACAGAAATACCTATATGGGATGGTTACACATTGGAAATGAAGGCTAACTGGCACTAAGAACAATAAAATTTCATCCATACCACAAATTGACTGAACTTTGCATTACCTGCTGCAGGAATCAAAACAGCAATAAGAAAATGAGACCCACTGATAGCAAGTTATTATGCAATGGTAAGCGTTTTAATCTACATGTGGATTCAACAAGTTCGGGATCTCTTGAAAATCATGGAGAAAATTTTGAGCAGTAGAATACAACTATGAAGGATAAAGACTTCATCAGCTGAAATCAGGAATAGTTTTAAAGGAATTCAGGAATATTGAATACTGACAAAACTGAATGGATCTTTCATGGCAACAATACAAAAGCATGCTACATATCAGAGCTGTTTTCAACAATGAAAAATTGGCAATATTTTGCTAAGGTCTAAGGTTGTAACAACTGCCTCACATTTTCTTTAATTAAAACACACTAGTGTTACCCTTGAAAATTTACTCTGAAGTTAAAAAAATGGCCTCCACCAACAAATAATATTATAAAGGTGGAATGCAGTACCTGGGAGATTCAGGGTTCCCACTAGCTTTTTTAAATATTGAGTCCTGGTGCTTAGCTTCAACTCAGTAGGAACATGTTCAGGTGGTTGACAATGAGTCCAACGGACTTGGATGTTTTGCAAATGAGTCCCTCCAAGAAAATACAAGTCAGGGACTCACTCAGCAAGTTAACATGATCCCAGGGGAGATTGACAGTGCAGACAATTGTTCATTTTCCTTAAAATTGTACATCACCATTCATGACATATCAGACACCTTCTTTGACTCTCTCACCCTTGCCCTAAACCCAATTTGTATTTCACGCACCACCTGTCATAAAAGTAAGTGTCTTCATACACTGAGATTTTCCAAGCTTCGCACTTTATAAAGTAAAAATTAAGATCAAAACCACAGAAGTGAATGCAGTTTACACAACCACTGATACCCATGGGATGCCCCATTCATGAGAACTTTTTCTGACCTGAATGAGGGTGCTGCTGACAGAGGAAGCTGAGCAGCCATTGAAGGTGCTGAGCCTCAGTCCCTTGCATGCAACAATTGGCTGAGCTGCTGGGTCAAATTTCAGGGCTTCTTCCCCCCATAGAGTTAAAATGACCTCATGACCTGACTTGTCCACCAAGGTCAGGTCTCGCTTTGACGTCTCTCGATTTGTTGACCGAACCGTGATGTTTTGGACATCACCCGCAGATTTGCAAACACCAATAACATCTATGGTGGCACAATCAGTTGCATTCAGAACCAAATGTGAGGAGATGCAACAAGATAATAAAGAAAGAACTGAAAGGAGCTCACCATGAAGTCCTGGTTTCTCCAAGTAGCTAGGTAAGGAACTGATGGGAACAAAGTTATACTGCACTGAGGGAACATCATCAGCAGCATCATGGCATGGGATGATGGCCGTATCAGAATTGAAATACATCTCATAGTCATTTTTGAGGTTGTTGTATTCCTTGCGTGCAGACTTCAGGGAGCATCGACTTATGTAATACACCTTCCCCAGCTGAAAATAGCGAATTCCAAGCATGGCCAAGTTACAGGCATGAATGGCACAACAGCAACAGGCATTTCAGAATGACAAACTGACTTCAAGCAGGTCATATAACTTGTCACAGGCATCGTTGAAACCTGTTGCACGTATTTCTCCACTCTCATCTGTGAAGTCCACTGAAAAGAGCTTCCCCTCACCTCGTGAATTGGAATATGTTCGTATACCTGACTTGTTGGTGACCCGGGCCCGAACAGTCCACCTGTGTGGTAGAGATATTATGCAGATTTACAATGACCTCTTATGGACATGGATTCATGCATCTTCATTCTGTTTTCCTAGGCTCACTTGTTTTGGTATGGGGTAAGACTGGAGATGGGATGAGTTGGCCCACTGAGTGCATTTGCAGCCATGTCTGAGTTGCGACTGGCTGATGCGCTTGGTGTTGCTTTCTTAGTCTCACCTACAAATATCCATGAACCCTCAAAATTAAAATGCAATTAATAAGCCTTTGGCTACAAATCGTTGAACTTATAGATTCTTCACATACACATAGGCATGCCAATGTCCATGGAGATTAAGGGTTTACTTTTACCCAAAACTTGGTCTGAGAGAAGACCCAATCCTGTTGTTGATTACTGAAAGACTCTTTTTAACTCTTTCGCTGCAGCAGTCGACTTTTTTCATACAGCAGGTAGTCCTCCCTAACCCATATTGATTCTGCTATGTAGTGAAAGAATTAAGCATCATGAAACACTCAGTGTTTGCTAATTGTGTTAGCATTTGAACCTTGCCACTAAGACACTTCGGTGTAAGTCTTACTGTATCTATTGAAATGTGAATGCCAATCTCCAATTTTGTAACTTGGATAAGAACTCTCTATTAAAATCATTTAGTGCATGCTTTGTACGAATAGTACTTCTCTAGCTGGAAAGTAAAACAGCAACAAATTCATTCATTTCTTCACAGGCAATTAAGACATTATGAAATCCATATAAGCAACACCAACCTACAGCTAACAAAATGTAATGCCAAGGCTGACAATAAGAAAACTAAGTGTGTGAATACTTCTAATGAGTCCCACATGCTCCAAATACAAGAGTAACAGTATCTCTTCCATGAAAGTACAGCAGGAACTCAATGACAGAAAACACCAGAGATGTACGTAGAGCGACATAACAACCTAAATCGTTAGTTATCAGAAAAACTAAAAGGGAACATATAAAGAAACTTGATGAGTGAAGGACAATTACCAATAAAAGGAGTGTTTGAGTTACTTGCATGGGAAAATAAACTTTGCCCAATATATTCTCACCAAACATGCTGGATGAAGAGTGGGAAGGAGGGGCAATTGATCTTGACATAGAAGAAGGTTGTGGGTTGTCAGCTTGAGGGGTGACCGCTGACTTGGAATCAGAGCCAAAGTTCACAGGATTGCCAATTCGACGCCCCACCTCTTCTCCGGGAGTCAGTAGGGTCAGTTCGAGGATGATGAACAATCGCCTGTGAAGACAGGGGGTGGAGAAATTAAGTGTAGACGAGACGTTATGTGTCTTTAAAGATCTACTTTCTAATGACTGAAAAGTGGTGCTTAGCGTAAACAGTGCATAGCTAGCTGGGCTTGCTACGTCTTCAACCACTCGAACCAGCCCGGATCATCAGTGACCATGTGGTTGAGCTGGGTTGCCAGCATTGCCATGCTGTTCATGTGTTTGCCATCTGAGATGAGCAGCCGGTATCGTTCTGACTTGTCACTCTGAAGCAGCTTAAATCCCTGTCCACGAGTTTTCAAAGGAATGCTTAATGATAAACATCATTCAAGCTTCAAAACATGCTAAATTGGTACAGCAACAAACTCCAATAAAGGGGAACTCTAGTTCCAAGACACTGGCACCTCCTAGGCTAAGAAAGTGTGGTTGTCACAAGTTGACAACTCTTCAAGTACTGACCTGCTTCTTAAAGCCAAGAGATATTGAAGTTAAGGAAAACATTAGTTTTAGTCTACTTTTAATGCACAATAATATGTCATACTCTAAAGAAGAAAGATAATAGGCACTCCAGCCACTTCCCTTTGCATGAATATTATCTTTCAGTCAGGGGATGAACAAGATGCAGGCCTTCAGTCTCAGGTAAAAGTCTTTTTCTTAATCTCGTGTGAATACTTCTCGTTCTTTGGTTTATGTCCTGTAATCTTAAGTTCTCTGGTATTGTACTTTACTGTTGTAGGGTTTATTGTTTTGGTCAGGGAGTCGTACTCCCTATTATTTCTATACAGCAATAAGCTTCAAACAATGGTGAGGTGAACACACCAGCTGTAGCTCTCAAGGAACAAGGGAAAGGCTGGCTTACCAAGATCTGAAGCACAGGAGCATCCACTTGGCCACCATTTGTAATTGTCTGCAAGAAATAGAGGATGTCAAAACAATGTGCCAAAGCAGATGTGGAGTGAGGAGGTTATAGCTATTACCTTCAGCAGACAGGGATTAATGCAGAATTATATGATACCTTGGATTAGTCCTGGTGTCCCAACTGGACAGAAGCAACCAGTTTCATACTTTTATAACATATTGGTATGAATGCAGAAATAGCTTTCAAAAGTTGTCTGTGCTGAACCTCTAAGGAATACTATCTCATTTTCGGTGTGAAGTTACTGAAACGTACACAAGATTGAATATTTTATAACCTTGGTAAAACCAAGGACTCGTATTGGTCTATCGAAGTTTTGTGTTTTCTTTTTAATACATTGGCCTGGAATTTCCCCTGGGAACTCTGGGGATCATACTCAAAAGCAAATGGACTAGGCCTGTAGACTCTTGTTTCAGTATCAGTCACATGAACAGAAAGGGTTTGGCAATTCCAGTATTACATGAATATGGACTAAGTTCAAAGAGCATGTCAGGAAAATCATGCAATACCAGCCAAGGAGAAAATGGACTGTGAGGTAGGTGGTTACAGGTAAGAGAGAGATTTCTTAAAGGATTCTACTGCAAGCAGGGATCGTCCTGTGGAGGGAAGAACTGTCCAAACCACAACTGTCTATGGGAAAAAAACCATGCCCAAACAATGAATTCCTGGTATAAATGATGCAGAAATCGGTTCTATATGCCCTTCCTTGTCCTGTTAATTTCAGTCATACAGTTTTGAGCATGAAGTAATGATGTTCAAAAAATGATTTTGTAAAAACTGAACTATTCTGGCACTTTGAGCCTATTAAGAAAAGTTGCCTTGTTGTACGTAACTGAATCCTAAGAGTTTAGCCATCACAATTGCTCAAGTCACTGACTGGAATGGAAATAGGAGGGGACTGATTGGCCATGCTTACATATTGTCGGCCATGGAAGTAATGCATACACCCAGGCCTAAACTTTCTACTGAAATGACCAATGATGAAAGGCCTATTAAAGAATGGCCACCTTGAGCTGCCACATCTGAGGTGGCACATGCATTTGTCAGCAGGGAAAATTTTTCTTTTATGCTCAATGTAAAAAATTAGGGCAAATCCAGGGTGAGCCAAAAAAAAACTCAGGTTATCTTAATCACTCCACAGCACAGGCCTCCAAGAGTTTGCTGAAATTTCAATAGCACCTCAATATGAACATTCCTTCAGCTTTCAAATTATGTCAAAATAATAAAAATTTCTGACATAGCTTCCATGCAGATAAAGCTGGAAATGAGAAAAACCCCTTGGCAAGATTGCGAATGTGCAATCGTAGGAATGGAGGTCACTTGGGACCAGGCTAGGAAAACCCTTGCGAACCTGTGAACGAGGTTCACGGGAACGGAGACACACGGGCGGGCGGCTCGCTTAGACCGCATGCATATCCTTCGTGGGAAATTCCAATTTATCACCTCTGGTTTGCTGGAAAAATATATATTTTTCCTACACTGCCTTGGGGCACATCTTACAAGGTACTGGTAAGTGCACTTTTCAAGTGCTATCTGTATCTATGTGCATAACTACATAGGGATGAAAGAATGAATCTTATATCTCTAAACAGCAGTGGAAAGCTAGATAAATGTTCTATATAGCGATGCCATAATGATACCTTCAAACTCTCGAGAAACTACGCTGTGAAGCGTTAAAGATAAAAGATATTTTTGGCCCATCCTTCAAGCCCACAGATTGATGGTGGAGATATGATCTCGAGGTTTGGTCCTTGCTCTTTCCCAGAAACCTTATTTTTTTAGTAAAAAGCCCACGGTCGTAGCACTTCGTGGTGTGCACGATGCGTTAGCGCATGTTTCCATTCTTGTCTGGACCTCCGAAGGGTTTTATGCAAATAACGTTAGGCTAGGAGTACCAATAACATTAAGCAAGGCCGTGTCTAGGTTTTCTGTGGCGCGACCTGGGTAGTCCCTTATCCAATTTGAATGATGAAAGACGGGATAAAAGCTGGCCGATAAGGGAAGAATGTGGCGGTCGCGCCACAGTAGACTCATTTATCGAGAAATGCTCACCTCGATAGCGCCCTCCGAAAGACTATCTATTCCCGGCATGATTACGTCGGCTGAACTGCGGAATCACGGAAGATGGGACTGGCTCTTGGTTTCGTTACATGAAAACGAAGAACGACACTCAAAGGGACAAAGGCACAACGTATATGCTTCAGCCGACGTCCTAGCCTAGCAACTGCATGTTACTTCTTGTTCTCAGAGGTTCGCGGGGGAATATGACGCAAGTCCCGCGTCGGCTGCTCGCGGCAGAGCGAGGTGTTCACGGGCACGCAAATATTCAATTCGAACTCCTTAGTTCAGGTGTGCTGTGCTTCGCTTAAATCGTTCTTTCAGGTGAAAAGGAAATCAACGGAAATTCTCTTCAGAAGTTGGCAATGCTCTTCCGAAAGAGGCGCTCCATTGTCTGAATGAGGAATGCAAAACCAACAACCGAATCAAAACCAACCGAACCAACAATAACACTTCGATATGAAGCGGTGCAGGTCTCTCCTTGGCTCAGGAATGAAAACTCGCGCGTGAGGCGGGGAAAAAGGAACCGTCGCAGCAAATTCCTGTCGGTGAATGACCGAACGGATCTATCGTCGGGATTAATTATCTGCTCTAAAGGGTCGACTGAGTGAACAGCCCTTCGGCAGACTCGGGAAAATGGAATAATAATAAAACACGGACCTCATAGCGGTAAGAGATTTGTCACAGAAAGAGAATGAGAGAAACTTCTGAACTGACCGAGACAGACTAAAACGGCTTCAACACCACATGAACGAAAAATTTAACGGCTAAATCCTAATGTACGTCCAGGCAACTGTGAGAGTCGTAGGGGCACGTTTCTAACCTAATCGGGTGCACATGTCATGACACACTAGTACTGTGTGAAGTACTGGAGAAGCAAAATGGAAATTCGTGTCCTAAAAATTTTAGATCAAGTGTGATATTATATTACGATCGTTTTGCTATTATATTACGCTGAGTTCTGCAGTGAGTTGCAAAACCTGCGCCTTAACGCAAACTGCCGGCAGAGCTCCCAGAAATATATCGTGCGCCAATAACCGGTTCCAATTCGCGAACTTTCGCCTTCTTACTTCTCTTTGATTTGCGATTTTGTCACTCGACTTGTCCAATTCCATTGCGAAACCGCTTGGAAGCACATGCTCGTAATATAATAATATAAAATAATATAAAATAATATAATAACGATTGTAAGATAATAACACAACTGATGTACGAGGCTTGATCCAAAAGTTTTTAGGACATGACCGTTTTTGTGAAGGAGAGTCTCGGAATTACTCGCTGGGGTCACCTCGCAGGTAATCTCCCTTGGGTAATCTCCCTCGGTAAACACGCCTCCAGTCCTCCTGCAGCTTTTGGGAGCATCTCGTCGAGTCCTGCATAGGAAGGGGCTGGGGGTTCCAAGCGTCGCTTGGATCCTGGGGATGTCAGCAGGGCGTTTCGGGCGTTTTGGAGGCAGTTTCGACGTCGCGGAACTTGCGACGCCCGTTGCGACTCCCCGACTCGTTCGATGGCTCCGTGGCATTTTTTCCCTCTTCCCTAAACATGCATCTGAAATCTGGAACTGTCTCGTCAAATCGCCCCGGATGAGAAGTGGCCAATTCCTTCTTGACAATTGTCCTTTTCGGTCATTAGGGCGGCGGTGGAGGCCGGTGAGCGCACGAGTTCGAGTCGTTCCAATGCGTAATGGCTTTTTTTTCCCCGTTGGTTTCTGGCGCTTTCACGTCCCGCCGTCAGATTCTCGTGTTCCAAATCGACGGGAGATGAGAGCTGGCACGGGGACAATCATTTCGATCCTTTTCACACGCGGTCGATCGGAGCCAATACGTCAGGCTGCTTCAAGCCGCTGGATTCCATTATTTGAGGTCAGGTAGGGGACTTTGAATTCTTCTATTCAGGACTTGAACTGCTCGATTTGCTCCTTGAACGTTATTCATTGAAATTTTGAGGGTGAATCTTGAGGAAATTCTCATCTATTTCGCTGGTCTCCCCCCCTTCCACTCCCTCTCACTTTTCGAATTGAGTCATGTTTATGATGCTTTCCTCTGTGCCATTTTTTTTGCTGAATCTATCATGCCTCTCGGTCCTTCTTCGCATTTCGGCATAATTTAAAACAACGAGCACCCCTTTTTCTTTAAGTAATTGTTTACACCAGCCACGGCCGCGATCGCGGTTGTTTCCGTTCCTTGAGTCGCAAAAGCCAAGATGAGCGGGGACTGATGACATTGACTCTTCTCAACTTCAGGCATGTCCACCTCGACGAACGGAGCCTGGACGCAGCTCGCGTTCTCTCATGAGAGTCTCACTCATGAGACTCTCATGAGAGTCTCATGATAGTTGCATCGCGATAGTCGATCGACCAAAAAATATTGATTTCCTGGACACCCTTGGTTTTTTTGGTTATTCCAACTGGAGCTATCATACGTAAAGCGAAGGCTTTGGCATGAACTGAAGAACAACTTGAAAATTTGAAAGGATCTTATGTCACACCTAAGATTACGACAACTCCAAAGCAAAGGACGCAAACCCCAACCGCATCGTTTTCGGCGAGATTCTTCACCCAAGTCGAAACCCGGAACGATAGCCGTGACAGCGCCACGAGGAAAGCGTCGAGAATCCCCTCACCCCGGAAGAGCCGGAGGGCAGAGACCTTAGAGCAGAACTAGAGGCGACACTCCGAGGGGTAAGAGGGAGGTCGAAAATATTACAGAGACATCTGGTGGCTTGTTATCAGCAACACTTCCTTAAAGAAGCTCTTCGTGGCAGCGGAATCGGGGATCGCCTCGTTCGGGGATTCGACCCTCAACATAACACGTCGTGTCTCGTCGAGTCCGCTGCTCGGCCACGGAGTTGTCGATGTGCGCACGCTAGGTGACATCTATGTTGCGACCCCGCCAACGAATTCGAGCGGAGTGGAAGCCTCCAGTTATACTCTACGGGCAGGGACGAAGAAGCCAGGACGAAGAATGAACGACGACTGGAGGCTTCTCGAGGGGAGGTCGCCCTCGAGATCCGAGAGAAGGAAACGCTGCGAGAGGCGCCGGAAGAAGGCACAGTAGTTCCACCTGGTGACGAGAGAGGCGTTCTTGCGTCCTCCTGAGCTGGATGGAGGGGGATCTCCAGCCAGCTCGAACCGGTCGGTGCAGTCGATGGAGCGAAGTATGAGAGGTATACACTGCATGGTAAAAAAAAATTGGACAAAATTTTAAGATGTATATATATCCTGTCGCTGAAGTTGTTTTCACACTACGGGTCCTAATTACAATTATATTTGCATGATTTATTAAGTTAACCCATTCCCACACATGTAAATTCATGCAAAACTCACGCCATAGCCATAATCGGTACCAAATAGCACAGAACATCCAACAGCTATTCTGAAATGTAGGAATTTTTGCGCTAAATCCTGACTTTGGATTGAATAAACATCAATAGGTAAAGTAATACTTAGCTATTGCTCTTCTAGAGCGGTACCAAATGCAGTTTGGTGCCATACGTCATCATACCACACATAAGACAACAAATATGAATAAATTAAAATATGTTAATTTGAAGTTTTGCCGCATGAATTCTATGTACGAACTCCTAAAACTCCCAGGAGTAAAACTGCAAGTTTTCACTTGGAAAATCAAAATTTACACTGAATTAATTTGGTTCCCACGGCTAAATGGCTATAGCACTTATTGCCCACGATAAGAATAGCTTCATATTTATATTTTGCTTTTTCACGCTTCTTGGAATGACAAGGGAAGTCCTCCACAGAACGTACAAAGAAGCGAGATCACATCAGGATTTTGCACATCAAGCGAAGCCCCAAGGACAAACCAGTTGAGCGCAGACACGTCTCAAAAGAACTCATTTGAAGAATGGGAAACGGGCGTCCAGACGAAGATCTTTCGTCTGGGCGCGATCGGAGGGGAATGTCTCGCCACTCTAGTGCGCTCGTGGTTCAGGAGGGAGGACAACAGCCTTGTCTGATTCTGGG